GAGAGAGAGAGAGGGGCTCAGAGTTGCCTGCTGCTTGGGCCAAGCCGCCTCGGCGAGGTGACGATGGGATCGGCCCTCCGACCTCGTCTCCGGCCCTAGGACGCGGGACGATGACGGATCTCCGCTCGCAGCCAGCAAGCAAGCTGAGGACGCCGGTGCGGAATCGAGGCAGGGGAATAGGCTTTCCGACGTCGGTCAGCGATTGCGCAACAAGGCGGCGCTGGCTAGCCCGGAGTCGGGCGTAAGCAGCCTAGCTAGCTTGCGTATCCGTGCGGCTTGGCTTGACTTGGCTCGTCTTGACTTGTGACCTGGGTGGCCGCCTAGAGTAGTGTGCAGCAGGCGGCGGAGCGATGGCGGCGGTGACCGACGCTGCGGCTTTCCTCCGAAAGCCTACCGGCGATGTGAGAAGGCTGGATGGTTGGATTGTCGATGATGCCGCGACGGCCGAGAGGGGCCTGCCAACCAATCGGCCGACCGAGAGTGGCGCTGCGGCGAACGGAACGGGGCGGGGCGGGGCGGCGGCGGCGGCGGGCCGATCCGACCAAGAAGGGGCAGGGTGGTAGGCTTGCTTACTTTTGTCCCGGATGGTTTGCCCCGACGGCCCGACTTCCGAGACCTGTGTCGAGGATACGAGCTCGCCTTGCTTTGCTTTGCTTTGCTTTGCTTGTCTTCCTGCGCGTAGCCCGGCTTCGTGCTAGGCTGCTTGATGCGACGTTGGCGTCCCAAAAGGGGGGGGGGGGGATCCGACAATGGCGTAGTAGTCGTCGTCGTAGCAACCGAACGAGTCAGGGCTCTGCAGGCCTGCAGGCTGTTCCGCAGCCCGTTCGCGTTTTCGGGAGGCGGGAAACGCACGCGCGGCCAATTCGGGGGTCGCGGCAATCTTGACCATCGGCCCGCCCGCGCCCGCGCCCGCGCCCTCGCCATCGCCATCGACCACCAGAAACATTCGCTTGCGATGTCTTCTGTGGGAGCGAAGCGGCACGACAGGGCAGGGCATCGTGCGTCTGCAGACGTACCAGGTCTGGTCGCACCGGCCAAGTCGTCGTCGTCGAGCGAGGCAGAGGAAGCCGTCGTCGTTGCGGCCAACGCGGCCGGCCCTCGTCGTCGATGGATGGCCGCGCCATCGCCAGACGGCAGAGGGCCGTCTGGATCGGATGTCGCCGCGACCCCTTTGCCCCAAGCCCCAACCTCGGGGGCCCTCGGTCCGACCTCTGTGCTCAGTCGCGCTCGATGGCTGCCGAGATGCCCCGAACGTAGGACATTGCCACGTTCGCGGATGCCATCGACGACGGCAGAGCGTACGTGTAGAGGGGGATCGCCGTTGTGCGCTAGCGCGCCACTAGTCACCTACCCGTTCCTGGTCGCAGAGCCCGTATCTCGATGCTGTCCCTCGAGCACCAGATACGCAAGGGCAAGGAGGGAAGGTCGCCGTACCCGGCAGCACACCACAGCATACCCTCGAGCCTCGACTTGTTGGTGCTCGCGCGGGGCTGTGCAGGTCGCCGCTCGCCGCCGTCGTGCAGGATGGGCATCGGCTCGCCGATTCCGCGCACGAGGTCGGATTCAGGGCAGAACGGGCCAGGGAAGGACAGGGCCAGGGAGGCGAGCAAGGTGGCAACGACACGAGGCCGACGGCGTCATCCTCTTGACTTGTACGTACATACGGACGTACTGCTCGCAGGTTGCCCCTGCCCCTGCTCCTAGGAGTCTATTATTGTCACGGATCCTATCCTCGCACGCCCTCCCCTCTCTCAGGACAGTCTTCAACCCCACGCAAAATGCTGCACACGTCGTCCAGGACAACGGCCTCCCGAGAGCGAGGCCACGTTCCCGCCACCCTCCTTCACCCTCGTCTGGGTCAGGAACGGCACCTCGCCGAACATCAAAGAGCAGAAGCAGCCGCAGCATCCAGTAATCGCATGGCCATCAAGGGCCTGTCTCCCCGCCAAGGCAAAGAGGCAAAGAGGGAAAAAGCACCCACGGGCCCCAAGTCGGCTACGCGGGTCTGCGCGCGCCCTTATCATCGACAATGACCAGTGCCGCATCGGTGTGGCCGGACCGAATGCAGAGGCCCTCGATGTGCAGAGCATGCCATCCGCCACCGCTCTACATCGCAAGCGGCGTGCAGTCGCACGCGTACGTGCTGCTTTGTACGTATCGACCCGCCGGTAGAGATGCAGCAGCAGGCTCATGGAACGAGCGGACGCGGGGAAAGGCCTCGCGAGTTGGAGCGGGCGGCAGGTAGAGACACAACCTACATACGTGCATACGCAGATGGCGGAAGAGCGGCAGCGGCATTTTAGGAGGAGAGAAAAGAAAAGTCTCCGCGGTTCCAGACTCCGCCACACCTTGCGATGGCGAGGGCGAGGGCGAGGGCGAGGGCGAGGGCGAGGGCAAAAGAGTCAGATCGAGCCGCCGAATATGCTGCGATGCGACGATTGGCTTCGGAAGCAAATTTCCGGTGAGCAAGGCCTTCCGTCTGCTCCTGTACCATCCCCCCCAGTGGACGGCTCCTCCCTGTCCGACGTTGGCTCGCACTGCTCAAAGGTCATTGGACGGTCCAATTGCCGGCGCGGCAAAGTGATGAGCACACCAGCGTATTTCCTCCAGATGCTACAACGACGATACCTTGCACTGAAGAGAACGGGTGCAAGCCGATAGCAGACGGCTGGGCAGCGCGCTGATGGCGCTTCGATGTCGGCGAAGCTTCTTGCGCCATCGGCCACCGACGAGCCGGCGGGCAACGGTAAACCTTAGGTACCGTCCATCATTGGAACAGTGCCGAACGGCTCGCTGCACGGGCACTCACGCCGAGCATGGTATCATGGTCGAAGGCCTGTCGCTCATGCTGTTCCTATCGGGAGACCACGCCGTTGGGCTCGGTCCAAACTCGGTGAAGGCAACGTGAAATCGCCCTTGGCAACGCATCGGGGGCCCTTCTTTCGTCTAGCAGAGAATGCGGGCAGCACCGATGCCGGAAAGTGATCGGATAGGGAGGAGGTTGCCATCGAGTCAATGACGCCCTCATCACTCGAGGACGCATTCGGATACCGCATCGTTCTGGCCTGACTACCCGCCATTGTGGGACAGGTACAGCGGTGTCAGTGCGTATGGGCGCACAGCTACATGGGGAGGGGGGAAGGAGAAGGCAGAGTCGTACGTACATACAACATACATACACACACACACACAGTGGCCCTGAAAGGGCAGGGCTGAGGGAGTAGACACTTTGAACTTCCTAAAAGAGGTGGCGGCGTCCCTCTTCTTTGGGATCTCGGTCGGTCTCACCGTGATACCCACGTGCAGTCATTCTGCCCCTGAACCTCGCCACCCAGACAAAGAGGGACGGTGCCGGTTGTCTGGCGTTCTATAGCTACACACCCCGGGAACGTCCAAAGTAGGGCGCACGAGCTTCGACGGGTTTGAGGCTGGGTTAGCGACGACGCTTTGAAAGCCAGCAGTGCGCCTCCCAGCGAGAATCATGGATGCCGGGCAGGGCGTCGTTGGGCGTCCAGTCGACGGACCATAGAGTCGCTGCCGCGGATCCAGGCGCCCGTCGATTGACGGCCTGGCCGTCAGGCCAGCGTGGTCACGCTGTGGCTCTGTAGATTTGGATCGCCGGAGGGATGGCCAGTCTAGCGCGCACCACCATGACGGCAGTAGCGCAAACGACGAGACCGAAGTCAGAGCGAAAGATTGCCGACAGTTGATCGGCGAAGTACATACATACACGGCTGTACCCCAGCACGCCGTTAGCTGCCCTGCTTCCGCGCCGGTTTTGGGTTGGAGGGGCTGGGGCGAGGCGCCTCGTTTGCCCTGCTGCGTCCTCGACCTTGGTTCGCTCACACCATACCCGTGCGTACCGCACCGCACGATGCGTCGAGGCGAGCTGGTGGTTGCGGGCCAGCCGCCTCGCTCCTACGTGGGGAATCAAGCAAGCACCTACGCGTGCCTGCACGCGAAAAAGCTCACCACGCCGTGCCCGTTCCGTACCGCCGGCAAGCGAGCTCTGGTCTCGTGGCGCACACATGCACTCGTGCAGACATATCATGCATGCAGCTTGATTTCCGACTAGCTGATTCGGTCGCTTGCAGCCTAGCAGGTCATGCAGAACATCACACGCACGCACGCAGCGGCCCTTCCCGAGACGAGGGGCGGGTTCGGCGGGCCCGAGTGAGTTTAAAAAACCCCCTCGCTCACGTAGGGCGGGGGAGGGACCCGGACGCTGTGTACGTGCGAGTAGTTCCAACACAACCTGGTACGTAATGGGACCTTCAACTCGATTGCACCACGACGACGACGATGACGATGACGATGCCCTTGACGAGGAACGGGCGGGGGATGAACTGGTCGAGCGAGAGATACTACTGTAGCAGCGACAGGCGACACTACTGCGAGCGGCCCTGTACGGGGAACACCGGTGCGCCAGGTCCCTGGGTCATGGTACAGTACATGTATGTACAGTACGTCCTTGCCCTCTTTGGCGCTAGCTACAGAGCACAAGACCTCGCCGCCGGCCGAGATGTCGTATGTGATCCCTGGCCGACCTCGTCCAGCCACGTAAGGTACGAGCCCGGAGTCGATGGAGCGGCACGGCACGGTACCGCCTGGCCTGGCCGCTTTCCCTTGCGGCTAGGCGAGCTGCTGCGACGGAGGGTTGTCTTCCTTTGACCACCACGAGGGTCGCGGGAAGTCCGGTGCGCGACGCAGCGAGCATCACCGACCGCACGTTGCCGTCCCGAACCCACAGCCGTCCCCCCTCATTTCGGCTCCTTCCGCTCCAGCTCCATTTCCCAGCCACACGTACTGAATGAACGGTGCACCTGCACCTACCACTTTGCCCTGTCCTCATCTCTCTCATTGCCGCTCCAGCAAACAAGCACGGGAAAGCCAGAGCCAGACCCCGAGGCAAGGGGCACCGCCCATGGCATCGCTGCGTTAGCCTCAAGAAACCGCGGTCGCCGCACGAACGCTTGGGGCTCCCCCGTAGTCTGGCCTCGAGCCCGCACGCGACAACGAGCGAAATGAACCGGTATGTTTGTAGATAGAGTCGTCCGCGTACGTAACGGGCCCCCTGTGCTTCGGTAAACGTACAAGCAGCGACACGGCTTATCGCGTCCTCCAACTCAACACCCTCACCGGGAGGGTCTTCGTACATCTGGTTCGGCGAGAGATCTCTAGGTGGCCTCACACTATCGTGGGGCCGCCGCAGCTGCTCAGGTACTGCCACACTGCTGCCGGCGCGGTCCTCTGGTGGTAAACAGAGCCCATGCTGCTTCGCCATCGCAACCTCGGTCATGATGACCGCAGCTGTTCTCGACCATCGGTCGAGACTCAAAAAAGGGTCCACGACTTTCCGGGTCGACGCTGGCGTGCACCGTCTCAGCGTCACCGGGTATCGAGTGAGAAGAGAGAGCGTGGCGAGGCCATGGTCACCGATGCCCCGCATCAGCAGCAGCAGCGTAGCAGCAGAGGGACACCCGTCGTGAGGAGTCTCCGAACTGCCGCTTTTGGTCGATGACACTCGATTCCTCGGGACAGTCAAGGCGACGACATTGTGGTGCGCGGCAAGGCAAAAGTCGACAGAGCACCATTCGCCCGCTCGCCACGGACCGGACGGGAAGCGCATCGGGCCTGACCGAAGAGGTGCGGCAGAGGTTGAATTGCACCGAGACCCCGCCGCAGTCGGAGATGCCAGTCCGTCCTCTTGAACAGGAGCGGGCGGAACGGTGCCGGTCGGATGCGGCCATCGCGCTCCGAGGGTGCGCCGTGTGCCGACGACGCCACCATGATACTCGCGTAGCTTCCAGTCGTCATCGACCATCGGCTCGTATGGCCACGAGGCGGAACGCAGCGCCGCGACAACCGGGAAGCATGGGGCGGCAGAGGGCGTACAGGCGCAATGTCAACGGGATCCTTAGTCAGAGTCGAGTCTTCTTTGCCTTTTGACGGCTGCTAGCATGGAAATCTCCATCGCGCGACGTGAGCCGTGTCTCTCTTCCGACTCCTCCCCAAGTGCAAGACCGTGCAGCGTGGCGACTACAGCAGAGAATCGACCGAGACGCGACCTCTCTTTCCGGAATCGACGGTCTGAGCAACCCGCTCGAGACGGCTGAGCTAGGCTACCAACCCTCTGCTCGTTTGTTCCGTGCGTGGCGACGCGTCTTGCAAGAGCCCGCCTGCCTTTGTGTCGAGCCGGGGCTTGAAGTGGCGCAGCGCCGTGCACATCGCTGGCGCTGGTTTCTAGGTGTCAGGCGCACAAAAGCACTCAGCGAGACCACCACCATCGCGCCTTGTTGCTACACCACGCTGACAACGCTACAGCTGTTGCTCTGGCAACAGAGACCCAAGAAGCCGGTTTTGGCAACGGCCAGGTTCTCCGCGAACGACGTTAAGGCCACTCTGCTCCTCGCTGATTCTCCGCAAGAAGCCGGAAGATGGGGCTTTTGAGCTCAGGCCAGGAGGTTGAGGTCAGACGCGCGCAAGGGCGCACCCTGACGGCGATCCCCATCCGATGACCCTTGTGTCTCCTTGTCCTTGTCCTGTCGCTGGGCGCAACCCTCTCCCGAGCGGGTGCGAGCACTCGAATGGCCGACCTCGGGCGGACCGTGTTGCTACGTACTTGCCGTGGTGGACGATCGTCGACGTGCCTCCATCCCGGCCGGCCGATCCACACCCGAGCCTCTCCACCTCTCTGTCTACCGACAGCTGGATCTTGTCCCTTCAGTGATGCTGCGCCACCGCCGGTCAACGCAGGCAAGCAGCGCGGCGCACCACCTCGTTCGTTCGTATGTACGTACGCATCTGCAAGAGGTGTGAGTGTGGCTGCAGCTTGGGGAGATTCGGTGCAGCCAGACGAAGCAGCCAGCAGCAGCGCATGCATGCAGACAGGCAGCAGGCTAGGCTCGCCCAGGCCCGGTTGGCTGCCGAAGGGCCGGGTCGACAGGCCGCCTCGCTTATCTGCCAACATCGGGTTTCATGCCGCTGCCCCGCTCTCGTTTGTCCCGGTCGGTGTTGGCCATCACGTACCGCTCCTACGCGCGAATGCCTCGAGGGATTCATGGCGCGGCAACTCCGCCATCAGAGCCCTCCTATGTATGAAAGTCGACAGGGGCAAGTCAAGGTCCTGTCTAGCAGCAGGACCACCAGCCCGGTTGGCATCTAGCGCCCTCGACCACGGGGCGCCAGAAAAAGGCTCGAGGATTCCGAGTCGGTGAAACGACGGTCAAGCCCGTCGAGGCGCATGGACCCCGTCGCCCCCCCGTCAGCGGATCCAGGCTCCCGACGAGATGGGGTGCACAGCTTGCTTGGGCAGGGTAGCAAGAGCCTGAGCTTGTGAGGTTGGTCTCCCTGCCTCCCGTCCTGGCCCGCGGTAACAAGGGTCGGTCGGTCGCGTGCCAACACCAAAGTAAATAAAAAAGAGGTCGCCGGCCGAGGGGCTCTGACGGCTATTGCGCCATCGGAAGCCACATCCCTGTAAAGACGATGACAGCAGGCAGGGAGGCCGGTACGCTGTCATGGCCATACAATGGCGCTCAAAAACGGGCATCGCCTCCATTGCCACACAACCTTCAGGCTGAGCAGGCGAAGCGGGACGCCCTCTGGCTGGCACCCAGGAAACAGCGGCATTCAATCGTCCGACCCGCGAACAATTTCCCGGGCCGGGCCCAAACAGGATCGTCGTAGATCCGATCAGACCAAAGCGGCCATAGGAGCGAGAGGGGGGAACAGGCAGGCAGGGCTAGGGAGCGAGGCTGGAGAAAGAGCGAGGCAGCGACGAGGGCGCAGACAATCAATCAGGCAGACGGAGCCTACGCACGGGTTGTGCAGCAGCTGCAACACCTGCGCATACGCCCCGACCTGGCGTACGCATGTACGGCCGGGCCGAAGACGGAGGCGGTGCCACGCCGCGCGCATCTACTCTTTCTGGACGAGGCGTAGGGAGGAGCACATACAGGTGGTTGGCTGGCGCAGGCAGGCAGGCGAAAAAGCACCGTACCACCACCATGCGCCCCTACCTCGACCCAAGCACGGTCGGTCCGGTGTGCGTGCTTTGCCTTGCTTGGTTGCAAGGCAGGCAAGGCTGGCTGGCCTGGATATCGAGGTTCGTGTGCGCGTGCGTGCGTGCGTGGTGCCAGCCCGGCCTGCTCCCGGACACCCAGTTCCGAGGCGTCAGCTGGCGGGGTCAGCGGCATGAAGCTACTGCTGCAGCTGCAGCAGCAGGCAGGTGCGGAGGAATCCGACCGCCCGAGGACACCGCTCGCCCGCCAGCCTGCTTGCCCGCCTGCGCCGTCTCGGCTCGCCTCGCCGCCGCCCCGCCAGTTTGCGCCAGCCTGCCCACTACTGTCCGGCGCTGCTGGCCGCCCCGGCCTTTACGACGGTACGGTGCCCTCTTAGCCCCCATAGCCTGCCTGGCTTGTCCCTTGACGCTGCGCCTGGCCTGCCCATTCAGAGGGCACGAGCCTGGGAACTCTGCTGAATGGCGGTAACCAGGGACGGTTGCTTCGCGGCCGGTGGCAGGCAAGGCGAGGGCACGCAGGCAGGCAGGCGGCCAGGCAGATTGGCCAACGTTCGGGTTCGCCGCCGCTCCCGCCCAGCTTCGTCCATCCCGGCAAAGGGGCCCGAGCGAGCGTGCAAAGAGGCCAAGCCAGGTCAGGCCAGCCTGCTCGAGCTTATTGCCTGCCCAAAACGCTCTTACGCACACACAGAGGAAGCAAGCAAGAGAGGAGCAAGCAGCCGCACCAGAGCCGCCGCGAGCCAAGCCAAGTCAAGCCAAGAGGTCTGCCCAGGCCAAGCCTGCCCGCAGGCGGGCGAGCGAACGAGCGCCCAGAGAGGAAGCAACCAACGCCCGCTTGCCGTCCCGCTCCTTGCGGGCCGTACGTACTTAATATCACGGTGGTCCAGCACCGTCCTCTCCCCTCTCTCCCCCGCCTCCTGCTCGTCATCACTACTCCTCCTCCTCGTCGTCGTCGTCCTCATCGTCCTCCTCCTTCCATCCCTTCCCAGCGGGGCACCTTCAACCGGCAGCCTCGTCCCGATCCACGACATCATCCACGCCACGCTTTCGCCTCAGCAGCAAGTACCCCACGCTGGCCGTGTTCCGCCGCGCTGAGCAGAGCAGCAGGAAAGGCAGGCTCGAGTCCCCGCCCCTAAGCCCCGACCGCTCCGCCTCATAAGCAGCCGCATCACTCCAAGCTCGCAAGACGCCCCTGCCCGCCGAGTGCAGTCGCACGCCTACAGCCCACCGACTCGAGCGCCGCCACCGCTCCTGGTCGCTTCATCTCCGACGCCCTCGCCCTCCGACCCGTAACGGTCCTTGGCGCCTCGACCTGCTTCTTCACGGTCACCGCCCCGAGTCGCCTTCCTTCAGCACCGCCAGCGCGCCTTCGAGCCTCCCCACCTCACCTCTCCGCACCACAACCACCTCTCCAGTCTGGCTCCTGCTTCGCAGAATCCAAGCTTGTTACCAGCATCGACCCCAGTGACCTCAAATCACGGCGACGCGACTGGCTGTCACCGTCCTCGGATCATCGGACCGCCCTTCGAACGCTCCTTCTGCCTCACCATGTCGACCTCAAGCAAGCGCACCTTCGACGTGCTCGAAAGCTCCACCGGCGACTCCGCGCTGCAAGGACGCCTAGTCCCTTCTGGCTCGACCACCGTTGAGCCTTGGAAGACGGTCCGGTCGGATTGCTCCTCGCTCTCGTGGGACTCGGATCTGTCGCCGCCGCCACCCTTGCCGATGGAGCTTCCGAGGGACCCTGAGCAGCACCTGCAACAGCAGCACCAGGAGAAGCGGCCAAAGAGGAGAGGCAGGATCAGCACTCGACCCCAGCCTCCGTTTGTATGCTTCTGCGGAAAGCAGTTCAAGAGGTGAGCCGGCCAGCCACTCGAAGAGCGCCGCCGAGCATGCACTGCCGTGCCTCGACGCTGACCAGTGCACTCTTGCTCCACTCTTGGCCTGCCACCATCATGCAATCTCCTCCACTACTCTGCTCTTCTCTCGTCTTGCAGGCATGAGCACATGTCGAGTGAGCATCCGCCGCCGCCGAGGCCGACAACGATGCGCCGCCTTGTTTGCTGACGTCTGGCCTCCTCCCCTGCCCCATTTTCCCCTTACTCATCTCTTAGGGCACAAGGCTACGCACAGCGACGACCTCAAGTATGAATGCCCCATCTGTGGCAAAGGCTTCCGCAGGCAGGACGTCATGCACCGCCACACTCAGACGCACTCGCGCACCAACTCGAACCACGCGCCGAGGCGCAAGGCGGCCAAGGTGCTGACCGACCAGACCCACAGGCAGACGGCGGCGCTCTCGAGGGCGGACCGCGCCTGCGTGCCATGCAAGCGCGCCAAGCTGCGGTGCGACGGCCAGTTCCCGTGCTCGCGATGCGTGTGCCACCCGAACAAGGACTGTCACTATCAACACGGCCATGCATTGACGTCGGCGTCGGCGTCGCCGTCCGGCTCGTCGCTCAGCAGCGCGCTCCAGTCAAGCCCAGCCGACTACGACCAACCGCTGCTCCTGCCACCTCCGATGTCGCACAGCGGCTACCCGCACCTCTACCACGACAACGGCAGCATGACCCGTTACATGAGCGAAGACGCCTCAATGCCTTCGGCGTCGACCTCAATGCCGGCGCCTGCCTTTGCTCCCATCCCGAGCTGGGCCTTTGCTGGTTTCTGCGACCCAGAACGCGGTTTCACTCGAGAGCACGAGAGGGCCGCGTCGGTGCCTCAGCATCCCTCTGGCCCGGATGCGTTCGACAGGTGCTACGTGCCGACGCAGCCGTACGGTGCCCTTGACGGCAACAGTGGCGGACTCGGCCTGACGTCGAACCCGCCTCCGTCGTCGCTCACTTGGACGGCCAGGGGTTCATGGGACAATTCGTCATCGCAGCACAACGAGCACACGTACAGCAGCAGTCACGGTGTCGATGGTCACGGCGGTCTCGTGTCGATGTCGATGGGACACAGCGGTCGCGGCGCCTTTGAGCAGCAACACCAGCACTGGAACACGCTCAGCGAGACCGCGGCAGTCTCAGAGGCGGGCACGCTTTCGGCTTCCGACCGTTCCTGCTCGACCTCGCCGTTCTTCGTTGGCGGGCGCGCTTCCCCGCCGCCGCCTCCGCCGCCTCCGGCGTACCTGTCGATGTGCCAGGGCGACGTCAAGAGCGAGGCGCCTTACTCTTCGCTGCATTCGAGCGCCGACACGCCCTTCTACCACTTCAGCTCTGCCGTCGCGGCTCCGACGCCGTTTTCCTCGGCCTCTTTCACTGCATAGGCTGGCGGATCCTGCCGTCCTTGTTCCTGGAGTGGACCATCGCTTCGCCGTCGCCTCCTCTCTGCCGCTCTCGCTTCCGGGTCCCACCTTTCTCTGCAATCGCCATGCTCCGTCCGTCGCCTCGACTCTATTGTCCTGCAGCTTTCATACCCTTCCTCATTACACTGGTCCTCGACCGCCCTACACTACCCCCTACCATGTCTCTAATCCGCGCTCGAGCGCCCAGCATCGGGCCAACCCTCGTCGTCTTGTCGTTTGGTCCCTAATCGGCTCTTCAATCTTTCTGTAATTCGGTACGATACAAGCAGGTACACGCGGTAATCAAGGATCGCCTTGCACCAGCGGCCTCCCGATGGCCTGGCGGTAGTAATCGCTTGTTGCTCGTCGGTTTGGAGCCGAGCGAGCAGAGGCGAGAGCTGGATCTGACCGGCGCTTCTCACAGACGCTCGAGTGCGGGCAGGCCGAAAACGCGATGGAGACGGTCGTCGACGGTGGTGGCAGAGTGGCTTGTAGTACGTGGTGAGGTGATGAGGGTGCGCGGTTGGGTGACAGAAGAAGAGTGCGTCGTCGGTGAGGAGCAGGCAGGGTTGCTCTGCCCGCGTGGCCTGAGCGCGGTTCATGTTTTCCCACCAGAGAGACGCGCCGGCTGGCAGACAGGGTCGGCGTACGTGCGTGTGTGTTGGTTGCTCGGGCCGTGCATGGCAGGCCAGGCCAGGCCAGGGCGTGGGGGGCAGCTGGACAGGGGCTGCTGCTGCTGCTGCTGCCCCACGCCCGAGGAGGTAGTTAGAAGCAGAGGCGGCCATCGACGACACCACCACCCTTTCCCTACCTCTCCTCGACCATCGCCGCCCTGACCATCGATCTTTGCGGTCTCATCGTTCGCCAGCCCGGCTTCAAGAGGTCGTGGTCGCCGCAAGCCTTGCTCCACTCGCCACGACAGGTTCATTAACGACAGCGCCCCACCCGCCTCGACGACCACGACCACGACCACGACCACGACCACGACCACGACGACCAGATTTGCTGCACACCACCATATCACGACCCAGCCCATCGCCATCACCCGGAACCACATCGCACTCACCCTACATGTCTTCCTAGACCAGCACTGTGGGTCCAGCTGCGCTACAACTCCAAGCGCACACTCCTCTCCGTATACCCCTGCCCTGCTCTGCACAACCACCTCCATAGCTGCCCGCAATGTCAGGGGCCACGCCTCAGGCGGACGACTCGACGTCTGGCCGGGCACCCTCGCCCGCCCCTTCGAGCTCGTCAATAGCATCGTCGCGCACCGGTACCATGTCCAGGCCCGCTCCCCCGCCAAAGCCCTCGCACCTCTCCTGCGCCTTTACGGGCACCGTCAACTCGGTCGCCCTCCGCGAATACATCCAGGCGCAAAAGACTGGCGGCTCATTCACCTCGGACAATAGATCCGGCACCATCAGCCAGGCCTTCGCAGGCTACGGCTACGGCAGCATCGACCACTTTGTCGACGCATTTGAGAGCTCCGACGACGAGGGCAGCACCGCCGTGCCCGACGCGGCGACCCTGGAATCCGGCGCCGACACAGCCAGACCGTCGATGCGGAAGCGCACCTACACCGCACCATCCGTCAGCCGCGTCTTTAACCCGGCCGCCGAGGACGATGCGGGCGATGGCACCACCAAGCTCGTCAGGCGCGAGCCCATCCAGATTGACGGCAAGGGCCCCTCGCGCGTTGGCAACCTCCGCAGCATGTTCGAGGCCCCCGCCGAGGCGCCCAGAATCACTCCGCAACGCACTGGAACCGGAACCACTTTCTCGCGAGCAAAGGCAAAGCAAGTCTCGGAAAAGACGCGCATGCTCCAGGCCCAGATCACCGGCGAGAGGGGCGCCTGGACCTTCTCGCCCACGACCGAGTCGCCCTCGCACGCCAGCCAGGCGTCCGAAGCCAGCCAAAAGTACGAGACGGCCAAGCAGGACCAGATCGAGAGGGAGCTCAAGAAGCTGTCGTTGATCGAGGACGATCAAGAGGCGCAAGGCACCGTCAAGCTGTCGCCCAGTAGGCGCGGAAGCAGTCCCATCGCAGTAAAGGAGTCTTCGACCGCCAGGGCCGACATGCTGGCCTCTGGCCCCTCTAGTCCGACTGCGCATGATCGCGACGACAGCACCGCCACCATCCGGCCCCGGGACATTTCGCCCCAGCTCAATTCGACCCGGCGGATGCCCTCTACGGCACGCACGCCGAGCTCCAGCAGGCGAAGCCGGCTCAGCAGCGTGTTTTCGGCCAGCTCGGCAGGTGCCCAGACTTCCTCTCCGCTGGCCGCCGGCACGCCCTCGCCGGATGCCAAGTCGACGGCCGGCAGCGAGTTCGCCGAGACCGACGCGGGCCGCAATGAGCGGTCGCGAGAGCCGTCGATGCTCATCGATCATCAGAACGTCAAGACAAGCGCCCACATGCGCGCCCACGACGGAAGCTCGTTTGACTTCGACTGGGTCAATCGCGCGCGGTACCCGAACCCCGGCACCCCGGAACGCGGCACCCCTCCGCCGCCAACACCCGCAGCAGCAAAGTCGGACTCGGCCGCTGCGGATGCGGTCGCTGTACCGGGAGGATCGCCGGACCCTTCGTCGCGCAAGTCGTCGTCCTTCCAGGGCAAGGCGGTCGCGCCGGTCGCCGTCCGAGCCGGTCCGCCTCCGCAGCGGCCAGATTCGATCGTGCTCAGCCTGGAGTCGCAGGCCGAAGAGCCTTTGGCAACCGTCAAACCCACCTTCGAGGTAGTGCCCGAGGAGGTCGCTATGCTGGAAGAGGCCGTCGATGCAACACAGCCGGAGCAGCGGGAAGCGCCGGATGCCGCCGCCCAACCTGCGCCCGTCGTGCGCCCGCCACAGCCAGGCATCGGACGCGAAGCTAGGGCGCTGTACGACTTTCTCGGCGAGGCCTCCTTCAACGAACTCTCACTTCGAGCAGGGCAGAGCTTCGAGATTCTCAACGAGGAGCTCGCCGGGGGCTGGAGCCTGGGCGTCGTGTGGGACGACGAGGGCTTGCCTCGGCGTGGCCTTATCCCACGCGGATGGTACTGCTACATCCAGGACTTTACCATGTCCCCACCGGCGGCGCAGGGCATCGAGCCGCCGCCAACGCCCTCGCCTTTCCCCGACGACGAGGAAGAAAGCGGCAGCGGAGCTCCTCCTGGTCTTCTCGGACTTGGGAGCCCGGCGTTGCCTCGGTCGACGACTGATGCGCAAGATTTGGACGCGGCCGCCGCCAAGGCCTCGCCGCTCGGCGGTCGCGCCATGTCCCGGATCGGAAGCCTCAACGCGGCGTCAAACCCGCTCGCTGGCATCAGCCCGGCGAAGGCCAATGGCGGTACCTGGAAGCAGAGCACTTCGCCCGTCTCTCTTAAAGGCGCTCAAGCTCTCGAGTCGCTGGCAGCTCTGGCGGCAGACCACGGCATCTCGGCATCATCGGTGGAGGCAGGCGAGGGACCGCCGGGCGGCACCATGCCAACACCAAAGCTTGTCGTGCCCGAGCAAGACGTCCATCTAGAAGCACCGCACAGCGACGACGGCTCGACGGTCGTGATCGACGAAGGTCCTGCGCAGCCTTGGGCGCCTGCGCTCGAGGCGCAACATCCGACGAGAAGCACGCCTTCGCGCCCAGAGGCACCACGGGTCGTTAGCCCCGTCAAGGCCGAGGCAGTGTCCTCGACGGCCATGTTTGCCTGGCGCACCAGCATCCTGCGCGGAAAGACGCTCAACCGCTTCGCCAGCTTCGTCACCAGCGGTGCCGAAGACTACATCCTCTCCAACGACGGCGGAAGCGTCGGCAGCGACAGGTCGCGCGAAGCTCTCCGGCCTGCCAACAGCTTCAGCAGCTTCGGTACGCTCCGTTCTGACCGCGCCAAAGATGCCAGCGCCACGCCCTTCGACGGTCCGGACCATGCGAGGAGCCGCGAGCCGTCGGCCACCAGCACGAGCACCGCCAGCACCAGCAGCACCAGGCCGACCGAGGATGCAGACCAGCACTACGTCGTCGCCGGACCCGCAGGTCCCAAGTGGAAGGCCAAGACGCCGCCGTTCCTGGTCCAGGTGCACTCTCCCGAGAAGCGGACAAAGATGAGCGGGATGCACGAGTACACCGTCTTTTGCGTCACTTCCACCTTTCCCGCGCACAGCAGTGTCGCAGAGGCGGGCGGGGCGGATGCGGCTGCCGCAGATGCGTCTGCAAGCTGGGACAGCGGCGACGGCGACGGCGAACAAGATGCGGTGCGGATGCCGTTCGACCCGTTGGCCGCTCCGGATCCACCCGGGCCCAGCCTCACCGTCTTCCGCCGGTTTACGCAGTTTGCGTGGCTCTATCAGACGCTGACGAAGCACTTTCCGGCGCTCGTCATTCCGCCGCTGCCCGAGAAGCAGTACTCGGGACGTTTCGCCGCCGAGTTCATCGAGACGCGCCGCGCCGACCTCGAGCTGTGGCTCGGCCGCATCGTGCGCCACCCGGTGCTGCGCTACACCGAGGCGGTGCTCTTCTTTCTCAGCTGCGACGATGAACTCGAGTGGAAGCGCAAGGCTGGCCGGCTGCTCAAGGGCGAAGGGTGGGAGGGCGGCGCGAGCGGGTCTACGGGCAACGCCAAGATCAAGGCCAACATGTTTGCGCGCACCTGGCATCCGTCGTTCAACTTTGACGCTGCCGAGGCGGCGCTCGAGGGCGAGGCGGTCGATGCGCACCTGCGAGCCATGGAGAGGACCATGAACGGCGTTGGAGGTCCCAACGTCGGGAGGCAGGGCGTGCTCGGAGCGTGGAAAGGCCTGCGCGAGGGCGCCGTCTCGACGTCGGCGTGCTACCGCGACCTGTCCTACTCGATGCTCCGCCTCATCACGGGCGTCGGCGTGGTCGATGCCAGCGGCGCACTCAACGGCGGCGACGCGGCGCTTCACGGACACGGCATGGGCGGTGGTGGCGGTGGCGTCGGCGGCAGCGGCAGCGGTAGCGACTATGCCCACTACCTCCACGGCCCGCCGATGGGCAACCTGGGCAAGCGCTCCGAGTCGGGGGCCACCAACGAGCACGGGGTGTGGTGCTGGCGCGAGGGGTGCCACGAGTGCACCAACCTGACCTACGTGCTGCAGAACACGGCCGAGGCGATGCAGGACGTCGCCGACCTCTTTGAGCACCACGCCAGAGACACGCTGCTGCGCCAGCACGAGCGGCTCAAGGACGTGTCGCGCCCGCACACGGCGCACCAGGCGCTGCTCGAGGTGCATCGGGCGACGCTAGCAAAGTACCGCGAGGCGACGGGCGAGCCGGACCCGCTGGATCCGGACTCGAGCCACATCGGGGCCGATGGCGATGGCGATGGCGGAGGGAAAGCGGCGACGACGGCGCTGACGGCGCAGGAGTCGGAGCGGATCGCGTCGCGGTGCGAGACGGTGCTCAACGTGACGCTGGCCGAGATGGACCGGGTGCACGACGAGCGCGTCGAGGACCTGCACTCGATCGGCAAGCGCTTCCTCGACTCGCAGATTGACGTCTACGAAGACATCCTCGCCACGCTCAAGAGCGCCCGGGCGCACTACGACCCGGAGTACTACGACTGCGAGAGGGGCACCCACATCCTGCCGAGCCGGTTCCAGGCGGACCTGTCGAAGCCGCGCAGGGCCGACGGCGCGCTGCCCATGCCCAGCGCCGCGCTCGGCGGCATGGGCGGGCTGGGCAAGGTCGGCATGCTCCTCAGCACCGCGGCTGGCATGACGCGCCCCGTCTCGAGCGGATTCCTCAACGGGGCCGGAGCGGTCACCGTGGCCGAGATGATGGAGAGGTCCACATCCAACGCCTCTTCTTCGGCCACCGGCGGTGGAGGAGGAGGCGGGTCCTTTTTCCTCTTTCCCAATGCGTACAGCCCATCCGCCGCGGCAGAGGCGAGGACGGGGAGCATGACGGCCACATCGACGTTGAAAGCCAGCCAACAGCAGCAGCAGCAGCAGCAGTCGGGTAGTGGTGGTGGCGGTGGTGGTGGGACCACCGGTGACGGCGGAGGAGGCGGAGGGAATAGGGTATCGTACTTTTCGCATTGGAGGTAGCCAGCCTAGCCGACCCACCGCCCTCCCTCCCTCTCTCTCTCTCTCTCCGTCTGTCCACTCCAGCCCATCCGTCTCGGCGAGAAGGAATGCATTCGACGAAGAGACTACGACTTCGCATCCCCCGATCCGCCTCGCCGTGTCCAAGCCTTGACACGGCTCGTGTGTAACGTGTGTCAAGGCCAAGTCTTGATTAAAACTCTAGGGAGAAGGCATTGGCCATATATATATAATTTTTTTAGAGGTCACAACATCAGCCCTCCGAATTAGTTTAGTGGCTATGACGGCACCTTGTCACTCTGCGGGCCCCTCTTCGCCGAGGGAGCGATCGGTGCAGACCCGGGTTCGATTCCCGGATTTGGAGCTACTCTTTTTTCCCCTCCATTTCCCACCTCACTCTGCGGTGGGCGGGCCCGAGGCAGACGCACGAATCCTCGGGCGGCCTGGAGCAAGGGAGGAAGGATGTGGGATTCGTTTTGGCGGGGCAGGCAATAGCATACAGGAGTGCAGATCTCGGCGCGGGGTGCGGCGATCGGTCGGAGCACGGGGTGGTGGGGGCCTGCGGTCGTCGGGCTCAGGCTGGCCAGGCCTCGCCCGCGGCTCGCAGGGCATCCACTCTGCGGCCTGGCGATCGTAAGCAATGGGAGAACAACGGAAGGCGGATAGATGGGCGGCGGCGGATCAGCTGCTGCCGAGCCCGCTGCGTGGGGGGGGGCGAGGCAGGCCGGCAAACGAGGGCGCGCGGCTCGTCAGCCCTGGTGGGAGGCATTGTAGGCCTGGACGACGCGCGAGACCTGCTTAAAGAGCCAGTTGCGGGTGCCGACGTCGGCGAGGGGCAAAAAGGGCCCTGCGATGCCGCCGCGGAGGACGAGTGCGATGCCCTGGCTCTCGAGCGAGATGCTGCTCAGGTCCGACAGGGGCACCTCCCACATGACCTTGAGGCGCATGGTGCGGATGTAGAGGATGCGCGAGACGGTGAGCATAATGACGCTGTCGCCCTCGGTGGAGCCGACGTCGACGTGGGCGACGTAGTGCTCCTTCATCAGCCGGCCGTTGTCGACGTTCTTGAGCCACGTCTGCCCGAGCGCCTCGCGGTCCGAGTAAGGGCGCACGATGCCGTCGCTGGCGATGAAGCGCGGCAGGCGGACGCGGTCGATGTCGTTCTGGTCAAAGACGACGGTCGTGTTGCGCATGCCCTCGGTCACGTTGCTCGCCAGGTCAAACACGCCCACGGCCGGCTTGGTGATGGCGCCCACGAGACCCTTGCCGACGCCCTTGAGGAAGCCGCCGGCGCCGCCCTGCTCGGCCCCCTCGAGCGGCCGCAGCGCGAGACCCTCGAAGCCGCTGGCGACGCTGGTGAAGAACGAGTTGGCGCCCGCCGTGATGCCGTAGAGGGCGTGCTTGGGCTTGTTGCGGAAGCGCGACATCCTGCGCCGGCTCTGGAACTCCTTGTCCATCGTGGCCGCCGCCAAGCCCTTGCCGATGCTGCCCGTCACCTTGGACACGCTGTCCGTCAGGCCAAACACGGTCTTCTTGACAAAGCTGCTGGCGCCGCGCGCGATGCCCAGGCCCAGCTCCTTGTTGCCGTGCATCACCAGGCCCTGATAGGGCTCGTAGAAGATGTCGGCGACGCCGGAGCTGACGTTGTTGAACAGGCCCACCGGGTTGCCCAGGAAGTCGGCCGAGCCGAGCACGCGGTAGAGCTGCAGCAGGAAGCCCTGCGAGTAGTGATAGATGATGCGCTGCTGCAGCACCGCGTTCGACAGGCGCACGTTTTCGATGACGAGCGCGTTGAGGCGGACGGGCGCCTCGTTGACGTTGCCCAGCGCCATGGTGAGGGCGTTGAAGAGGAAGATGAGCGGGTTGCGCGAGCTGACCTTGTCGTCGGCATTGACGCGCTCGGTGCGCATAAACGACAGGTTGAGCGCCAGCGGCTGGAGGTGGAGGATCTCAAAGTAGATGTCGTCCTGGTTGCCGTTGACGCCCGTCGGCTCCGGCACCTCGCGCGGGTTCTCGATAAAGTCGACGTCCTCGGCAGCCTCGGCCTCGCTCCACGACGAGCCCTGCAGCTTGGAAAAGTCGTAGAGCGCGAAGAGGAAGTCCTCGTCGAGCTCGGCCGTGATCTCCTGGAGAAGCAGCGAGGCGTACTTGATGTGGGTGACGCCGTGGGTCTGGTCCTTGAGCATGATGACCGAGGCCTGCAGCGTCGGGTGCACCTCGAGCTCCTTGCCGTCCTTGGGGATGGCCGTCGGGTAGAGGACGATGGGGAAGAGGCCGCCAAACAGCTGGTTGTCGATCTGGATCCACTTGCAGATGAGGTTGACGGCGGTCGTCACCTCGGACTCGGTGTAGTGCATCTCGAGGCCGCGGAACGACACATAGGCCAGCTCCTGGACGTTGCGGTTGATGAGCGAGATGCCGACGCCCTCGAATTCGAGGTTGAAGGCAAAGAGGATGTTGATGTCGACGTCGACGGCCTCGAAGCCGGCGTCGCGGGTGCTCGTGCTGACGGCCGAGTCGGTGCGCGAGAACGTCGAGTTCTGGCGCTTGAGCTTGAAGTTGCTGATCGACTCCGAGTAGTTGGAGAGCACCAGCGTCTGCGTAGGGCCGTCGGCGCGCACGTCGATCGACACCACCCTCGAGCCGCGGCCGTCGGAGCTGGGGAACTTGAACGGCAGCAGGCTGCCGATCTCGAGGATGTTGACGTTGCGCTCGCGGCCGTTGATGACCAGCCGGATCATCTTGTCGGGCGCGGCGGGGTAGTCCCAGGCGTACTTCATCTTGGAGCGCGGCTTGAGCTCGTACCGCTTGCCCACCTGGTCGTCGCGCTTCCGTCCCGCAGGGCGCTCTTCGCCGTCCTCGCCCTGCTGAACGGTGCTCGCCTGCATGAACTGAACCGTGTAGTCGCTCTCGTTGCGCAGCATGTAGGGCCAGGGGCCCTTTTCCTGGCTCAGCGTGATGAAGATGGTGGGACCCTCGAGCAGCACCTCGGCCCTGACCAGGTGCTGGTGCTGGCCCGACTTGGACATCCGCAGGTGGACGCTGCCGATGTCCTCGATGTTGAACGGCGCGCTCCACTTGTTGTTGAGACCGGGGTAGGCCAGCGTCATCTGCTTGGTGGCGCCGATGCGGAGGAAGTGGAGCGGGATCCTGCGGCCGGGCTGGGCAGTGATAAAGTCGGCCGCGCCGGCTTCGCGGAGGTTGATGGCCTCGCCCACCTCGTTCCTCACCAGGTAGCGCGGCAGCAGCTTGACCACCTTGGACAGCTTGAACTTGCCCAGGCCGTCTTCGACGGTGAGGCCGACGTGGATCTCCTCGTTCTTGGACGCCGACGGGATCACGACCTCGGTCTCGGAGCCGATGGCCTCGAACGAGAGCGGCTTCGACCACTGCGAGTCGCCCACCCGCATCAGCACGCGGTTGCGGCGGTCGTTGGAGCTGTGGGAGAAGAGGAACGGCTCCGGCTCCCTGCGCACAGCCGCTGCGGCCGAGGACGAGGTTGTCGACGACGACGATGTCGATCCCGCCGCCTGCCCCGGATCCTGGCCCGCGACGAGCTTTGCGCCGCCGAGCCACGACTTGGTCTTGAGCGCAAAGGGCAGGCCAGACTGGTTGACAAAGATGTAGGGCGAGTAGATCTGGACCTTGAACGCACCGCCAGACTGCGGGTGGCGGAAGTAGTGAAGGCGAAGGTGCAACTTGAGGTTGTCGGCGTCGGCGAGCGTCAGCGTCTTTTCGATAGGGAAGTCGTCCGGGTTGTCGGTGGCGATGATGGAGAACTCCGAGGGCGAGAAGCACGACGACTGGACGTCGACGCTCAGCAGCAGCAGGTGCGACAGCTCGGCCACGTGGATCGGAGAGATGCCGCCCTTGCGCAGGTAGCTGCTCCAGTTGTGGTTGGCGTTCTTGTCAAAGATGCGGTACTGGATATCGTAAGGAAGCAGGTTCTCGACCTCGACGGGCGCCCGCAGCCGCAGCGTCAGCCGGGGGTAGATGCGGCTGAGCGGATCCTGGCGATCGAAGATGGCGAAGCTCTGGAAGCGGAAGGGCGCCTCGTGGCCGTCGGCCGAGCGGCAGGTCAGAACCCGCGTCGACTTCTTGACTAGGTCGTGCCAGTTGAGGCTCTCGTCCGACCAGCCGTATTCGAAGCCCGGGTCGGGGCGCAGCTTGACCCTGCAGTGGTACGCCGCCTCGATGGGCACGGGGCAGTCGTCGCCGGGGGCGATGCTGCGGATCTGGTCGGTGACGTTGCCATCGGCGTCCAGGATGACCATCTCGATGGGGACCATGGTGCGGTTCTCGACGTTGAACGACGAGCGGAAGGTGATGTGCTTGACGTTGTCGTGCAGCTTGACCTCGCAGAGCACGCGGTGCGCCACCTTGTCGAGCTTGGGCCTCAGGCTGAGCAGGTACTCGCCCTCGCGATCGACCGAGATGTGGCGCAGCCGCTCCCACGGCATCCCCTCGATGGCGAGCGACAGCATGTTGCCGCCCGAGTCCATGACGTTTTCGCGCATCGACTTCCAGTCGTCGAACCGCCATGGCATGTCCTTGCCGTCGTCGAGGTGCTGGGCGGCTGGCTTCGACTTGCGATCCTCCTGCTCCGGCCAGAGCGAGATGCGGTACCCGGTCCGATTGCGGACGAGGAAGGGGGCGCGGTTCCTCTGCTGCAGGTCCTGGCTGCCCTGCTCGGACATGAAGGCTGCCGTCACGAGCCCGGTCTCGATCAGGGTCGTCGTGACCTGAGGTCACCGGGGAGGAGGGGAGGAAAGCGGGTAGGTGAGGCGCACAAATGTCAGACGGAGCAAAGCGGCGAGAGGGCGAAAGAGGAAATCTGCTGGGCGCCCCACAGTCACTCACATTCAGCTCGAGCCTCTTTCGAGAGGACAGCGTGACGCTCATGCTTGGCGGCGAGAGGCTGCGCAGAAGCTTAAAGTCGAGCGTCCACGGATCGATCAGCGGCTCCCAGTGGGAGCGCGAGAGGTTGTAGTAGTTGATGTAGAGGGACACGGACGTGTTGCCCTGCATGTCGCCGGACCAGTCGTCGAGATCGACGGAGAACTTGCGGATGTTGAGGTCGAGCACGGGCAGCGAGTGGGCATCGCCAATCATGATGAGCTGGAGACCTGCAAACTCGGCCTTGAGCTTCTCCTTTGCCATGATGAGCTCGGCATCCTGGAAGCGACCGACGCCGTCGCCGCCGCGGGTGCTGGCGACGGTGGTCGTGTCGCGCGCGCCTGCCCCGCGCGCACCTGTCTGGTTCATCGAGTCGATGGTCTTGGAGCTGCTGACCATCGATCCCTGGCGTCGCTGCTGGCTGCGGATGCTTGCGGAGGTGGCAGCGGTGCCGTCGTTGGCGTTTCGCCCCGCCGATGTGCTGTTCTGTGCCGACAGCTCGATCGCCTTGTTGACGACCGACTGGATCATGACGATGTCGCGATACGAGACGCGTAGCACAAGCGGCTCAACGTCGATCTCGATGCTCGTCGTCTGCGCCGCTGCGTTGACGCGGCTGTCCATCGACATGGCCAGGTCGAAGTTGTCGAGCAGGCGCAGCGAATCCTTTGGCCGATTCATCCGGCACATAAACATGCCAAACTGGTCCACCTTGAGTGCGAGGATGCCCTGCTGCGACATGAGCACCTGCTTGATGGACAGCACAATGGCCTCGGTGTCGTGCTTCTCTGGCGCTGCCAGCAGGATGATGGTCGGGTCCACCACATTGACGCGGAACGCCAGCGTCGATGGCTGCGGCGGGTTGGACTGATCCGTGGCAGCGCTCGACTCTTGGCGGTCCTCGACCTTGGGGACGGTAGCGGCGGCCTTGCGCTGCGCTTCGGCCTCCGGCGGCTCCTCTGGAAAGGCGCTCGTGAGGAAGCCGATCAGCGAGAACATCGGGTCGAGCGAGAAGATGACCTTGGGGCTGTCGACGGTGACGAGCGCCATGGCGGAGGCATCCGCGCCGCCCGACATGGTGTAACTCATCATGAATTGGTGGCCGTCGTGCTTGACGGCGGGGATGATCTCGCGGAACTTGGTGTCCTTGTCTGGGCGCGTGTCGGTCACGGTGAACGTCTTGAGCGCCACCTCGGCCTCGAGCGAGCCGTCGGTCAGCATCTTGAGCTTGACCTCGGAGCCGTTGAGCGAGAAACGCGCCAGCTGCGCGTTGTACAGCGTCTCCTGGGCGGTGGCCTCGGCGGTAAAAAGCTCGAGCTGGATCGAGTTGACGTCAAAGAAGAGGTCGAGGCTCGTGCCCACCGGGCGATCGCCTTCGTCCTCGTCGTGTACGACGGTGCCCAGCTCGGGCAGCATGTCGACCGCCGCGCTGCCTCCCTGCCTGGTCGGGGTGCTGGTGCCGCTGCCGCCGGTCCCAGAGGTCTGGCGGCGTGGCGGCAGCGAGGGCGGCGGCGAGATCTTGCCGTCGAGCTCTTGCGAGATGCTCTGATCATCGCTGCCCTCCTCCTCGGCGATGACGGCAAAGGCGCGCGGGATCGACGAGGCCAGAGCCAGCACGAAGCCGTACTGCGCCTCGGTGAGCTTGACATGCACGTCCGACATCTTGGCCACAATCTGCGTCTGGGGCTGCTGCTCGCCGCTGCCGTCGCCGGCATCGGCGATGCGGGGCTCGTGGTCGAGGTGGTCGATCTGCGTCATGTCGAGGCTGATGTCGACATCGTCGATCATCTGCACGTGGTATTCTTGGTCGCCGTAGCGCAGCCTCGAGGCCAGCCGGATGTGGCGCAGGCCGGCCTCGATCTTGACCGAGGCGTGCTTGCCGTCGTCGTGCTCGGGGAAGGTATTGTGGGCGTAGATCTCGCCGAGGTTGGCAGTGATGACGTCGGGCGAGTCCGACGAGCGGGGCAGCACGACGATGGGCGTCTTGACCACGACGTTGTAGTGCATCTTGCTGACCTTTTCCTGCAGCTGCGACGCCTGGGCCGTGGCGGCCAGCGTCGCGGCGTCGTAGACCGCCTTCATCTGGGCAAACTTGCTGAAGAACTGCAGCAGGTCGCGGATCGGCTCCTCGACAAAGGTGAACTTGAGCGAGCCGGAGCGCAGCCAGATCGACGAGTCGTAGCCCGGGTACGACGACGTGTCGGCCTCGTCGAACGTCTCGTACGTGAAGTCGGCCAGCTCGTCGTCCTGGATGGTCAGCAGCTTCTTGAACTGCGGATCGGCCACCTGGCGCTTGGCGTTGTCGTACAGCAACAGCGAACCCAGGCGCGCGGCCACCCGCAGTGTGTTGCCGCGAAGCATCACCGCCACGTCCGCCGTCGACAGAGTTAGGGTGGCCAGCAGCGAGCCGTCGTTGTTGAGGCGAAGCACGATTGAGTTGAGCTTGACGCGGACACGCAGCTTCTCCTTGCGGCTCGCCTCGGCCGCTTTGGCCCTGGCCGCCTGCCTGGCGTCGGCCGCCAGCTGGGCACGCTGGGCCGAGCGGGTCGAGCCGGCATCGCTGGAGCGCCTTCGACCCGATGCCGTCGCCGGCGTCCCGCTCGCGCTGCCGGCGGCGCCTCTCTGCGGGGTCGTTTGCAGGCTGGACGACTGACCCCGCGCTGGCGCCTCTTCTGCCGGCACAAACGTCGTCATGATCCAGTCGTAGACGGCCAGCACGCTGACGCGCGTAAGCATGATGTTGATCGTCGAGAGCTCGACGTTGACGCTCTGGTCGATGCCCTCGTACTTGGTCATGAACTCGGGCGAGT